TTAGGAGGTGTTTGTCTATTGTTCTGAGGTCCAAAAACAGCCTTTCTCTACAACAAGAGAGAAAGGGAGAGAAGGCACAGGACTCCAGCTAGCGACGCCTTGTCCTCCTCCACCTGCCCCTCCCCTGCCCCATGGAAATCACCCAGGCTGAGGCCCCCACTTCAACAGCAATGCAGCCAGGAGTTCACAAAGGGAAGCATTTCCTTTCCAAAGACTGCTGAGATGGTTTACCCTGTTATGCCAGGAATGTGAACAAAATTGCAAATGTATTTTTATTCTTTCGTTTTTTCTCTTTTTTTTTTGAGATGGAGGCTCACTTTGTCACACAGGCTGGAGTGCAGTGGTGTGATCTCAGCTCACTGCAACCTCCACCTCTGAGGTTCAAGTGATTCTCCTGCCTCAGCCTCCCAAGTAGCTGGGATTACAGGTGCGCACCACCACGCCCAGCTACTTTTTGTAGTTTTAGTAGTGACGGGTGTCGCCATGTCGGCCAGGCTGGTCTCGAACTCCTGACCTCAAGTAATCCTCCTGCCTTGGCCTCCCAAAGTGCTAGGATTACAGGCATGAGCACCACACCCGGCCTGTTTTTTTCTCTCTTTTTTTTTTTTGAGACAAGGTCTCAATCTGTCACCCACGCTGAAGTGCAATAGCACAATCACGACTCACTGCAGCCTTGAACTCCTGGGCTCGAGCGATCCTCTAGCCTCAGCCTCCCCGGCGCCACCACGCTCGGCTAACTTTACATTCCTTGTAGAGGCAGGGTCTCACTGTGTTGCCTAGGCTGGTCTTGAACTCCTGGGCTCAAGCAAGCCTCCCACCTCAGCCTCTCAAAGTGCTGGGATTGTAGGTGTGAGCTACTGCACCTGGCCACAAGTGTATTTTTATTTTTATTTTTATTTTGAGACAGAGTTTCACTCTTGTTGCCCAGGCTAGAGTGTAATGGTGCGACCTCGGCTCACTGCAACCTCCACCTCCCGAGTTCAAGCAATTCTCCTGCCTCAGCCTCCCGAGTAGCTGGGATTACAGGTATGTGCCACCATGCCTGGCTGATTTTGTATTTTTAGTAGAGACAGGGTTTCTCCATGTCGATCAGGCTGGTCTTGAACTCCTGAGCCACCACTACGGGCCAATTTTGTATTTTTAGTAGAGACAGGGTTTCTCCATGTCGATCTTTTTCAGGCGGAGTCTTGCTCTATCCCCCAGGCTGGAGTGCAGTGGTGCGATCTTGGCTCACTGCAAGCTCCGCCTCCCCGGTTCATGCCATTCTCCTGCCTCAGCCTTCCGAGTAGCTGGGACTACAGGTGCCGCCACCACACCTGACTAATTATTTTGTATTTTTAGTAGAGACGGGGTTTCACCGTGTTAGCCAGGATGGTCTCGATCTCCTGACCTCGTGATCCACCCGCCTCAGCCTCCCAAAGTGCTGGGATTACAGGCGTGAGCCACCGCGCCCGGCCGCCAAGTGTATTTTTAAATTACACATTCTGTAGCTCCCCACTGGGTGACCAAGTAAGAGTGCTTTTCTTTTCTTTCAGTCAACAAATATTTTTCTAGCACCTCCCACATACCCTTGTGTACGATCCTATCCACTGGGGAGAAAACGGTAAACAAGACCATTTCCAGAGCCTGCGAGGGAAGAAGCAGAAGCGCAACAGAGGAGCATGCCACACTCTTCCTTGTCACACTAAACGCGGCAGCTAAAACATGCCAGAAGCTAGAAGTAGAATAATGGCGGTGGGGGCCTTCTCTAGGAGGGATGGTCAGGGAAGGCCCCTTGGAAGGTGTGACCTCAATGACAAAGGAGTCTGCTCAGCACCCTGGAAGAGGCCCCCACCTAGGCTCGTGGCTATTTCTGGATAGGTTTCTAGGTGTGAGGGCGCCTGTCTGGGGAGAGGGGCAGATGTGGGAGGTGGCTCCATTTCCTGCAGGAGTCCTGCGATGCTCGAGGCCCTGGGTGCTGGGAAGTCAGTTCTAGACATCGGTGGGTTTGTGTAAATGGCTAATGACCTGAAATCAAGCCCTCGTCCTGTGGGGCTGGGATTTCGTTTCAGGTACTGCTCTGAAGTATGGTGGAAAGCACAGAGTTGCTTGGGGTCTCAGGTCTACTTGTCCGGGTCTCTCTTTTTGTTCTCTTAACTCTAGGCTGGATGGGCGTGGCCCCTTAAGGGAATGAAATTGGGTTACTGAGTCCTAGCAGAAAAAGGAGGAGATCTTGGAGTTCCTGTCTTCCAACACGCACCTCTTTGGTTGTGATGGTGAAGTGGGACAGTGCCATCTCAGCAGGGACCTTGGATGTGCCCTAGAGGGGGTCTTGGTGGTGTAGCAGCGTTGCACCCCCTCCCACCATCCTGCCTGCCCTGTGGTTTTGGTGGCACAGATATTTCAGAGAGTAGTCTTCCCGAGAACCCTACATCAAGTATACTACCACCCGTTCCCATTCTTGATTCTGGTCCCCTCTTTATTTTCCTCACAGTGTTCACTGGACCTAATGTATTATGTATTTGTTTGTTCACTGCCATGTCTCTGGCACTTGGAGCAGTAACTGGCACATATTAGGCACCCAGTGCGTAACTCATTTGATTAATGAATGTGTTGAATGACTGAATGGATGAATGAAGAGGAGGAACAGAGCAGATGTCTGACCAGCTCATTCTGGCTTCTGGAAGGATCCTGATTGGGAATTTTGCGTCTTTCCCTCCCCACTGCCTTCTAGTCACTACTAAGGAATAGAGACCCTGATTCCTACATTTTTTTTTTTTTTTTGAGGTGCTCTGTCACCCAGGTTGGAGTACAGTAGCACCATCTCGGCTCACTGCAACTTCCACCTCCCAGGTTCAAGTCCCAAGGAGCTGGGACTGCAGACATGTGCCACCACATCTAGCTAATTGTTATATATTTTTTATTACAGATGAGATTTCACCATGTTGGCCGGGCTGGTCTCGAACTCCTGACCTCAGGTGATCTGCCTGCCTTGGCCTCCCTAAGAGCCCCACATTCTTAACTACTGTGGTATGTTTGAATTGACACTTGCCTCTTAGGAAGGGGAAACTTTTTAGACCCTGAGGAAATCCGTAGTTATTGCAAAGGCCTTTCCCTGCCTGTTGGGCATTTACCAGATCTTTCTTCCTACACAGAAGAGAGCCTCTCCTGGTTGGATCCTGCTATAAATCTCACTAGTGACCCACAAACAGGGGTCCTGATGTGACCTGCTCATTAACACAAAACCATCAGTCCCCATACAGCTTCCTGACGCCCCAGTCAGGTGGAGGCGCAAAGTTTCCGTTCTGCCCGTGCTGATGAAACCAGTCGCCAGCATTTACCTTTCTAAGGGATCCTTTCTCCTCCCACCCCAGCCTATCCCAGCACGAGAATGTAAGAGAATGTAAGAGAACGTAACAGCTGCCTGGCCTCAGTTCTGTGGCCACTCAAGAATTGGCTCGCATCTGTCTGCCAGGACAGAGAGCGTCCTGAGGGGGTTGGGGTGTGTGTGTGTGTGTGTGTGTGCGCCTGCGTGCACATGTGTGTATAGGGGAGTTCAGTTTCAGGTACCACACATCTGGAAGTCGGAGAAAGAAGCCACTGCACATGTTAGAGCCATTCGTAGGGGGGCAATTTTTTTTTTTAAAAAAAGCATTTTTAATAGGGCGAGAGTCTGGTGGAAAGTTTGGGGCGGGGCGGGGGGCGGGGGTGGAGTGGAAACAGCTGCGGGAGTGATTCTTGTCTCCATATATGTTTATAAGGCACTGAGGGCGGGATTAGCAGCTCCTGGGAAGTCTGGCCCTAGTCGCTGTGTCAGCCTGTCCTGGGGGCAGTCAAAGCCGCAGTGACCATTAGCAGGCACCCAGGCCTGTCTTTGGCTCAGAAACGGTGGCCCCCAATGTAGCCTGGGTTGAACCTAGGAACTGCAGGACCTGAGAGATTTCACTGGAGCCTGATGGAAGGGTGACAGGTGAGAGGCACTGGTGTGAGGGACAAGTGTCACAGGTGGGAAGGAAGAACTCCACTATCTAGTGGTGGAAATGTGTGAGGATCAAAGTCCTCAGGGAGAGAAGGTGTTGCAGGCGGCAGGGTGGCGAGCTGGGCATGGGCTGGGCAGGAGGCTTCGGGGACCCGGAGAAGCAGGAGGGCATGGGCAGCCCTAGCTGTGCAATCCGGGGAAGGACTGGTAGGTGGAGTTAAGGATATTTGGACTAGGAAACGCTTTGAAGCTTTTCTCTTGTCCTCCCTACTCGGGACCTGGTCCCCTCCCCTCCATAAAACCATTAGCTCCTGGTGCCAGCCCTATCTCTGCTCCATCTCTCTTGGTTCCAGTCGGTGCATTCACAGACCTTCTGCCCTGGGGGACGAGGAGGATTTATGGGGGGAGTGGGAGGGGGAGGGGCATCCTTCAGAGGAGGGGAGGTCTGAGGAGAGTCGGGTGTGGGGGCTGTTAGTCCCGGGCTGGAGGCCGGCTCATTTCCGAGCTGGCTCTGCATGACAAAGGGGAAGGAGCAAGTTTCTTCTTTGATCTGCCCCTTGCCGGCCCCACACACCTGCCTGTTGGTTCCCCCGCTCCAGCTGAGACTTCTAGGAGGAAAATCAAAAGGGGGGTGGGGGAAAGGCTGTGTCCCAGCTCTCCTGGATCCTGCTTGGGCCACCTTCGTCTCCTGGTGGCCCCAGGACAAAAATACTTCCTGGGCCGATGGCCCGAAGCACCTGCCGCCCCCTCCCGGAGAGCCTGGGGACGTCGACGCGCGAGAGCGGCGCAGTGAGCCGGGGCTGCGCTCGCCAGGTCCGGGGCCTCGGGGGCCCGGGGAGGCCGCTGGAGGCGCGGGTCACGCCCAGACGGAGGCCCCAGAGGACCGCAGGGGAGCCGCAGGGGGCGTGTGTCTTAGGCTCGGGCTTGCTCCAGGGTCCGGAGCACGGATCTGCCGCGGGCCGGACGGGCTGGGGACAGGGGTTCTCGGGGATGGATAGAGGAGCAGGCGTGAGTTACAACAGGCAGGAGGCCGAGAGGTGGGAGGCTCGGGAGCTACCGGGGAAGGGCCGTGGCATCTGGAAGATGCGTCCTCAGCTCAGGCATTTGATGCCAGAGCTGCCGCCTGGCGTTGGCAGTGTCCTCGGTGCAGCTGCTGGGCAAGATGCTGAGTGCCGCCCTCGAGGGGCAGGAGGGGCAGGGGCCGCCTAGGGAGGCGCCACCTCAGCCACCAAAGCTTTCCCTGGCGCGCGGTTCGCGGTGTGGCTTTTACATTTCTCAGAGAAGGTGCCTTGAGAAAGTGAAAAGTGCTTGGTCTCTACACAAGGGTTGGGACTCAGAAAATCTGCTGCGGGTGAGAAGGGCACAGATGGAGAGGGGAAACTCCTCCTTGGGTGCAGGTAAATCCAATGCACCAAAATTTTTTCATCCCACGAAGGAGAGCCTGAGGGTCAGAGAGAAATAAGTCTCTGGGCTGAAATGAGAGGTAGGGACGTAGGGGAGTGGACAGGATGGTCCTCATTTCTTTGGACGTTCTGCAGCAAGGACAGGTGTGTTTTGCAACAGCCTAAGTGGCCTCCCGGGTGCCGAACGGAGGAACGCAGCAAGCTCCACTCTTGAAATTACTTGTTTTCATTTCTGTTTCTGGTTTCTCAGATCATTATTTCTTTGGAAATTAAGCCCTGCGCAGGGCTCCCACAGTTTGGGGTAAGAGACAGAAGTCCTAGGGTGGGAAGATGAGCGGTGGGAGGTGGAGACTGGAAAGAGGCCGAGCTTCTTTGTGGGGAGCAAGCAGCATGTAAGCATCCGTGCACTTTTCTCCAGCTCACCCCGGCTCCTGGTGTGCCCTTATCCGCTGGGCTTCCACACTGACTCTCCATTTCTGTTTTCTCCAGGGAGCCCTACTCTGGAAGCTGTCAGTCCCAGGGCACTGGGGAGGGCTGAGGCCGACCATGCCCAGCCTGCTGCTGCTGTTCACCGCTGCTGTGCTGTCCAGCTGGGTTCAGCTTCTGACAGACGCCAACTCCTGGTGGTGAGTGAGAGGGGCTGAGGTCCTGCCTGCACAGCCGGAGGCCGCCTTCAGCGGCTGAGATGAGGAGGAAGGACACCGTGTGTCCATGGTACCTTGATTCCTAGGAAAACTAAGGGCCTCTTTTATCCCAGGACAACTAAGAACGTTCTGTGCCTCTCTCAGCCCTTACCTTTGTCAGGGTTCCCTGAGGATAAAGGATCCGTTCATTTGATTGTTTTTCTCTAATCCTGTCCACATTCCCTTTTCCTTGGACCTTCCCTCGTGCCCATGAATTGTTAGAAATTGCTCTTGGGTTAACAAGAATATCAATACTTTGCAGTTTTTTGTTCCTTTGTTTTGTGTGTTCTGCTGGTAGGAGATAGAATTCCTCTTTTCTAAGTCTGAAGGCCAGATGAGGGGTTCACAGCACCATGGGTGGCTGGCTTTCTTCTTGTGTTTTAAAGGCTATTGTCATTGCCAAGTTGACATGGAAATGGCAGGCGATCACCACCTATTTTGCATGGTCTCTGCCACTAGCATTTTTACTCAGTTGGCAAATCTGCAGCCTTCTCATCTAACACTCTATATGGGTGGTAGATGATGAGCAAAAGGGAGAGCCTCTGAACTGGTGAAGAGTGGATGAGAGGAGGCTCAAAGTGAGACATGGCAGTGAAAACATGTAGAATAGATCGTGATGTATGTAAAGTGATTGGATGTTAAAGGCACAGGGGAGTCCCATGCAAAGGAATTGATTGCTTTCATGGCTTACCATGCACTTGGGCTGCACTGAACTAGTCACTCCTACTCCTTGAATGAGGCCTGTGCTCTCCCGTTGAGGTTTGGCTCCTTTTGCCCTCTACCTAAAATGAAGAGCTGCCCCCCACCCCTTGTCTTCTTATCTGCCTGCCCCCCATTCTTAAGATCCAGTTCAGGCCAGGCGCGGTGGCTCAAGCCTGTAATCCCAGCACTTTGGGAGGCCAAGGTGGGTGGATCACGAGGTCAGGAGATCGAGACCATCCTGGCTAACATGGTGAAACCCCGTCTCTACTAAAAATACAAAAAACTAGCCAGGCGAGGTGGCGGGCGCCTGTAGTCCCAGCTACTTGGAGGCTGAGGCGGGAGAATGGCGTGAACCCGGGAGGCGGAGCTTGCAGTGAGCCGAGATCGCGCCACTGCACTCCAGCCTGGGTGACACAGCGAGACTCCGTCTCAAAAAAAAAAAAAAAAAAGATCCAGTTCAAATTCTGGCCATTTCCCTATAAAGGCTTCTCTTCAGCCTTAAGAGCTATTTTCCTCTCTGATCACATCAGATCCGGACACTGGAGTCTGTCTGGGGCATCTGGCCTCTCGCGTGTCCTTTGTGTTCATGCCTCAGCTTCCTTCAGTTTGTCCTTTGAAGGCCAGAACTCTGATTTACTAATTTTTCTTTCCAGCGCCTTGTACACAGGGAAGCGTTCCCTAAATGTGCTGAATGAATGACTTCGTGCTGCACACAGGCGCATGCTCACGCCTGGGCCTTACTTTCCCCTTTCTGGATTGCTGTCACAGGTCATTAGCTCTGAACCCGGTGCAGAGACCCGAGATGTTTATCATCGGTGCCCAGCCCGTGTGCAGTCAGCTTCCTGGGCTCTCCCCTGGCCAGAGGAAGCTGTGCCAACTGTACCAGGAGCACATGGCCTACATAGGGGAGGGAGCCAAGACAGGCATCAAGGAATGCCAGCACCAGTTCCGGCAGCGGCGATGGAACTGCAGCACGGTGGACAACGTGTCTGTCTTTGGGAGAGTCATGCAGATAGGTAAGAGGCCATTACAAGAGGGCTCGGCTAAGGAACTGCACTCGTTTGGGAACAATGAAGCGCGCTCAGGACTGGCACAGGGAGAGCCCAAATGGAGCCTAACTGGGCTCTCTCTAGGTTTGGCAGCGGTGTGCACCAAGCACCAAGAGAGGCACATGAGGAAGTGGGCTCTGGGAGGCTGCAGAAACCACACGCTTCATGGTCCTCTAGCTCTCTGCCTTCCAGCCTCACCTGGGGCAGGCTGCTTGGGACTCATTGAGACGGGGCAGAACATCTGAGCTGATTTAGAGTGGATTAGGAGAGCCACCCAGCCCATCGCCACTGCCTTTGTCTCTCAGCACAAAAAAGAGCCTTTGGGTAGAGAACCAGAAATTGCAGCCCTGAAAGTCTGTTGGATTTTTGTCTTTTCCACTTGAACCTTTGAAACAGAGATAGAAATGTTGGGCCAAACTGGTGATAGCTGTCACTAACCCAGCCCCATCCAGTCCCAGCTTTTTCATTTGAAAGGGATGTGTGAACCTGGGGGAAGGGGTCAGACGAAAGAAAAGATGAGAGGGAGAGGGCCAGGTCTTCCTGGATTCCTGTCCCTTCCCCTCTCCCACTGCTGGCTAAGGATTCTTGGGCTACCCTATGGCTTAGATGGAGGTGTGATCTGAGGTCTAATTGTTTTCGGTCCTTTTGAAATGCAATCCTCCCCTCTCTGGCAAGAAATTGAGAAATCCGGCCCTATTCTACTGGGTCTTATCCCCAGGGCCATAAAAGCGAAGTGTTAGAATGCTGTGTTCCTTCTGCCTGACATTCTCCCAGAACACCTCCCTTCAGAAGGTTACCTGAGGCTGGAGTTTCCTCAGAGAGGGATTTCAGCCTGGCAGGGGAGTTGGGGAAGTAGAGATTTCTTCGTGCTCCTCTCTTAGGGAGGATACTCAGAAGGCTCCTTGCCCCTCCCACTTATTCCAGACCTCTTTCCCTACCCTCTCTGTCCATATCGAGAAGTAAGGCCCAATGCAGTGGCCTGTAATCCAGCACCTTGGGAGGCTGAGGCAGGAGGATTGCTTGAGGCCAGGAGTTCAAGACCAGCCTGGGCAACATAGTGAGACCTCTGTCTCTATTAAAAAAATTTTTTTTAAGAGAGAGAGGGAATTAAAGATGGGGAAAGTACACGTTGAAACTTGCTCCTCTCTTGCTTCCTTCGGTATCAACTCAGGGTGCATGAAAGGAAGGTCCTAGTGTTCCTGGGACAGTATTAGGGGTGGGGGTTTAGTGGGATTTACTTACAGTTTATTGATTCTTCTCAAACCCACTTGGCATTTGTCTCTTCTTTCTGGCGAAAATCTTGGCAGCACTCCTGCCCTGTGTTGTGGGCAAGGAGACTAGGACGGCCCAGGTGCAGAGAAAGTCTCCTCTGATCTCTTCAGTGGAGTTAATGTCTCTTGGGGACCTAATGTAGGCCTGATGTTGGCTAGATCCTTTTCATGTGTATTTCATATGCCTAAAGGCCCCAAAGTGAGGCTGTACCTTAGGAAAGAAAGGGGTTGGCAAGAAAAGACACCCCGCTGGGTTCAGATGTGCACTAGGTGCCTAGCGAAAGCAAACCCTGTCCAAGAGAGCCCATCTCTGTGTGCCCTATTCTGTTACAAAATGGAACCCTTCTGTTTGCCTGATTTTCCCCTTCCTTTTTATAGCATCACTGAAGGCTCATGCTACCTGGGAGGCTGTCCTCCCTTCCTCCCCCCTGAGCCCAGAGTAGCTCCTGGTGAGTCCTCGGTCGCCCTATCTTGAGAATGACAAAGGCTTCCTTTCTCCTTTGAAGCTGCTGCGAAAGTCGGTCACCAGAGGGCGGCAGAGCAGCTTGGAGGAGCCTCTGCCCGTTGCCCAGCCTTTGCCTAGGGAGCTTGGAGGCACCTTGGGCTGCTATGGAACAGAGAGGGCATGAAATTGTTCTGCTCTCTCCTGTAGGGGAAAGACACGCGTCCCTCATGGCTGTTTTTTTTTTTTTTTTTTTTTTTTAGCCATTTATTCTTGAGGTGGTTAGAGATTCAGCTCTGAACTGTTGCATATATAGATAAACCCCAGCGTTGCATGTCCATTCTGAAACCCCGAATTACCTCTTTCTTGCTGAAGGTAGCAACAGTAGATGGCACTCAGTAGGCTTACCCAAGGGCCCAAAGGCTGCCCCACGAAGGCAGAGCTACCCACACTCAGCTTCTGATGAAGCCCCGACTGAAAGAGGCAGGCAGCGCTCCAGAGGGCAAATCTGGACCCCAAACAGTCATGATAGGGTAGAATCGTCTGAGTACAAAATGTCGGGTGTGTTAGTTCAGCTGCAGGTACGTGATTTTAGAAGGCAGTTCTGAGAGGGCTGATTCAACTCTGAAAAGTGTGTTTGCTAAAGAATGATAGAAATAAATCAGACATATGTAGCTTGGAAAAGTGAAAACGTAAAAGACTTAATAGTTGTTTTCAAACATGAAAGAGCTGTCAAATGGGAAAGGGATTATACACAGTGCAACTGCAGCAGGCAGAAATCATGAGGAGGCATATTTCAGCTTAATACAAGAAGGAGCATTCTGGTGATTAGAGTCACTTAAAAAAAGATGGAATGGATTGCCTTGAAAACCCAGCCCACTTCTCTGAGGAACTCTGTAGAGGGCAAGCTCCCGGTGGATATGGAGGATAGCTCGGGGCTGCAGCCTGGGAGGCTCCCTCCGTTCCAGGATGCCATGTCAGGTGGTTGAGGCTGCATTTTAAGGAGATGAATTCCTCAAAGTGGGGCCCAGACCCTCCTCCCTGAGAGCCTCTTTGGCCATCTTACCATCCCCAGTGCTCCTTATCTCATTCTGAGCCCCGTAGACCAGGTCCTATTGGCCAAATCATGAGTGTAACTTCCTGCCATCATTTCGGTTTTTCTTGGGCTATTCTTATTTCACAACTGACCAGAAGCCAGCCACTGGTTCATAGAGAAAAACGGACTCACTCAGCATGGTCTGTTTGTAAACTTCACTGTGTCGTGCCCAGATAATCAAGAAGTAAGGCCAAGGGGGAGATTTCTCTAGACCTATTGATTGGTTTCAGACTGCTTCCCTTTCTACCTCCTAAGACAAGACTGTGGGATTCTCCCTGGTTTAATCTCTGAGATCAGGATTGAATCTGTTTCCTGCTAAGAATCACTCCCTTCTCTCTATATCTTAGTCCCTATAAGTATCATTTGTTATTTCTTATAACCACTTTATTGAGATATATAACTCATATACCATGAAATTCACCATTTTGAAGTGTACAATTCAGTGGCTTTTAGCATATTCACAAGGTTGTGCAACCATCACCACTATCTAATTCCATAACATTTTCACCACTCCATAGAGAAACTGCATACTCGTTAGCTGTCACTCTCCGTATTCCAACCCCCAACCCTAGGCAACCACTATTCTTTCTCCACGGATTTGCCTATCCTGGGCATTTCTTATAAACAGGATTATATAATATATGGCCTTTCGTGACTGGCTCCTTTTACTTAGCACCATGATTTAAAGGTTCATCTGTGTTGTAGTCTACATATATTTCTTTTTTGAGACAGGGTCTCACTGTGTTGCCCAGGCTAGAGTGCAGTGGTGTAATCATAGCTTATTGCAGCCTCCAGCTCCTGGGCTTAAGCAATTCTTCCACCTCAGCCTCCTGAGAAGCTGGGACTACAGGCACATGCTATCATGCCCAGCTAAATTTTTTTTTTTGAGATGGAGTTTCACTCTTGTTGCCCAGGCTGGAATACAATGGTATGATCTTGGCTCACTGCAACCTCTGCCTCCTGGGATCAAATGATTCTTCTGTCTCAGTCTCCGATTAGCTGGGATTATAGGTACCTGCCACCACGCCTGGCTAGTTTTTGTATTTTTAGTAGAGACAGGGTTTTACCATGTTGGCCAGGCTGGTCTCGAACTCCTGACCTCAGGTGATCCATGCTCCTTGACCTCCCAAAGTGCTAGGATTACAGGCATGAGCCACCATGCCCAGCTTAATTTTTTCTTTTTTAATGTTTCTGTAGAGATGAGGTACTGCTATGTTGCCAAGCTGTTCTGAAACTCCTGGCTTCGAGTGAGCCTCCTGTCTCAGCCTCCCAAATTGCTGGGATTACAGGTGTGAGTCACCACACCCAGTCACTTTTTATGGCTGAGTAATATTCCATTGCATGGATAATACCACATTTTGATTACCCATTTACCCACTGATAGTTTGGTTGTTTTCATTTTTTGCCTGTTATGAATAATGCCGCAAGAAGCATTCCTATGCCAGTTTCTGTGTGGACATATGTTTTCATTTCTCTTGGGTATAAAGGCACTCCCAAGATATTGCAGGTTTGCAGGTTTGGTTCCACTGTACTGCAGTAAAGTGAATACGCAATAAAGTGAGTTGCATGAATTATTTGGTTTTCCAGTGCATATAAAAGTTATGTTTACATTATTCTATCATCTATTAAGTGTGTAATAACATTACGTCTTAAAAAAAGGTACAGTCCCTTAATTAAAAATATTTTATTGCTAAAAAATGCTGACAGAAACACAAAGTAAGTACATGCTATTGGAAAAGTAGCACTGATAGATTTGTAGCAGGATTGCCACAAACCTGCAATTTGTAAAAAACGCAACACCAGCCGGGCGTGGTGGCTCGTGCCCGTAATCCCAGCACTTTGGGAGGCCCAGACGGGCGGAGCACGAGGTCAGGAGATCGAGACCATCCTGGCTAACACGGTGAAACCTCATCTCTACTAAAAATACAAAAAATTAGCCGGGCGCGCTGGCGTGCGCTTGTAGTCCCAGATACTCTGGTGGCTGAGGCAGGAGAATGGCGTGAACCCAGGAGGCGGAGCTTGCAGTGAGCCAAGATGGTGCCATTGCATTCCAGCCTGGGCGACAGAGTGAGACTCCGTCTCAAAAAAAAAACAAAACCAAACACACAAACAAAAAACGCAACACCTGCACAGCAGAGGAAAGCTGAGCACAGTAAAACAAGGAGCTTTGCCTGTGTTCTTAGGAGTGGGATTGCTGTGTCCTGTGGGAACTCGATGTTGAACCTCGTGACTGTTAGCCTTAGGCTGCCAGATTGTTTTCCAAAGCAGCTGCGCCGCTTACCATTCCCACCCACAGTAAGGGAGGTTTCTGGTTTTTCCATATTCTCACCAACTTGTTATTGGCCGTCTTTTTGATGATAGCCATCCTAGTGGATGTGATTTGGGCTTGCATGTCCCTGATAGCTTGAGTATTCTGAAACAGGCGTTTTACTGAAATAGAACATATATTATATGAATTTTTAGGTGGTTCACCCCAACAGTAAAGGGGAACATAGTTGAGATTTTCTACTGGAAAATGATCTGGGTATTAAGAGGGACTGTGATGAGTGTCTGGAATTGTAGGTGCTATAAATGTGGTTCCCAGTGCTCTTGAGTTAGCAGGCAGTGTGGATCCTGTGGAAGAGAGAGGAAGACAGCGTGGATCTTTCTAGACACTGTAATTCTAGTTCATTTTTGACTCCTGGCCTCTGCCACTGTCTAGCTAGATAATGGCAGCAGTACAGACAGACAGATGTGCAACTCATAGAGTGATGAGAAATGGCATCTGTGAGGGAGATATTTGTTAGGCTACGGTGTCCTACTCTTGATCCCATGATCTCTTCCTTAGCCTCATTCCGTTCGACTCCCATGTTCTATGTGTTTCTGAATGCCTATTCTCCCCTCCTCTGAGGTCTGCCTCCTAGGAACCTACCGGTCACACAGGCTCTTCTGCAGTGGGTATTAGTGCAGGCCAGGGCTGGAGGGACTTTTGTTTTGTTTTGTTTTTGTTGTTTTTTTGTTTGTGTTTTTGAGACAGTCTCACTCTGTCACCCAGGCTGGAGTGCAGTGGCCCCGTCTTGGCTCACTGCAACCTCCGCCTCCTGGGTTCAAGCAATTCTCTGCCTCAGCCTCCCAAGTAGCTGGGATTACAGGCACCCGCCACCACGCCCGGCTAACTTTTTGTATTTTTAGTAGAGACGGGGTTTCACCATCGTGGCCAGGATGGTCTTGAACTCCTGACCTCGTGATCCACCCGCCTCGGCCTCCCAAAGTGCTGGGATTACAGGCGTGAGCCACCGCGCCCGGCCAGGGACTTGTTTTATTCTGGGTGGTTTCCTAGGGCTGAGCTAGGGCCCAGAGGCGGAAATAAAACTGAGCCAATTTCAGCCCATTATAAAGAGACGTTTTCTAGCATTAGAGCTACAGGAAGCGAAAAGCGCTCCTCCTAAAGCCCCCTGCCCCAGGAGTGTCAGCAGAGGCTGCGGTGTGCGGGTCAGTCGGGGGAGATGGGGAGAAGGACAGTCGCTGGGAGAGGACAGTGCACCCCCTTACTGCCCCTGCGCTGGGAGAGGACAGTGCACCCCCTTACTGCCCCTGCCTCGTTTTGCAGGTAGCCGTGAGACCGCCTTCACCTACGCAGTGAGCGCCGCAGGTGTGGTCAACGCCATCAGCCGGGCCTGCCGCGAGGGCGAACTCTCCACCTGCGGCTGCAGCCGGACCGCGCGGCCCAAGGACCTGCCCCGGGACTGGCTGTGGGGTGGCTGTGGGGACAATGTGGAGTACGGCTACCGCTTCGCCAAGGAGTTTGTGGATGCCCGGGAGCGAGAGAAGAACTTTGCCAAAGGATCGGAGGAGCAGGGCCGGGTGCTCATGAACCTCCAGAACAACGAGGCTGGCCGCAGGGTAAGCTGGGCCTCCCCGGCCTCCCCAGCACTGCAGACCTCCGGGGCTGTTCCCGGGCTGTGCCACCAGCTGTGGCCTGGCCATCAAGGAAACGGGTTCGTCTGACCGTGAAGATTCTTACCTACAATTGCAAGTTTAGATGTCCACACTATTGAACAAAGCCTTTTCAAAATGCCTCACTTCCCAATGGGCACATGTGCCTTTTTTTGTTTTGTTTTTTGTTTTGTTTTGTTTTGTTTTTCACTTACTTTATTATTTCACAGTTCCTAGAGGACATAGGTGCAATGTTTGGATCAGAATTCCAGACATAAGGATTAGAGCAGAGCTCTTGTCTTGGCCACCCCTGCTTTGCAACTTGAACAGATAATGCGATTGGGTGTTTAGGCCATTAGACCTCATCTAGGGTTTATGCACTGTTAAAGGCTCCGGTAAAACCAGAGTCGACTTTTAAGAACTGCTATCATACGTATCCAGAAACCCAGTCAAAAAACATATTCAAGTACTAATGACAAACACACTTCCGTGCTAGGAGTTTTTAAACCTAAGTGGAAGTGTGAGAAGACAGCCATCTGTTTAAGGTTCAAGGAAACAGCCTCCCCAGTCTCATGTAAGATGTGACCGCCTTTTAAGCCTCAGTTTCAGTAGAAACAACAATGCAGGTTTGAGGGGAGCTTGGTTCATTGCACATGCAGAGCACACCTGGGCAGCAGCTTCAGGGCCCCAGGTGGCGTGCTGGAAAGCGGGAACCCTCTCCGCCTGCACCTTGTTCCTGAAAACCCCTCCTCTGAGCACGCATCCGGCCTCCACTTTTCTTTGCTGTCCCCCATCATGGCTGCCTCTGCCACATGAAACTGGAGGGCCTGCCCCGCGAGACTGGAGGGCCTGCCCCACAGGAAGCTCTGCCTTTTGCTGCTTCTGCATAGTCAATGTTGATAGGGACCGAGGGCGACATGGGTATGCACCCGGGTTTCCCCTAAGAAAGATCTGAGGTCTGAGCACTGGGTGGCGAGCGGCTCTTTCTCCTGCAAAAAGAGCTCTCAGGAAACAGCACGGACTTCTTTCTTGGAGTGTTGTCCCCACTCGGGTCTATGTCAAGCCAGCTGGCTCTGGTTCCCAGGTGACGTATTGTAACAAAGATGAACTCACTCAAAAATGAGAATGGTGGCCAGGCGCAGTGGCTCACGCCTGTAATCCCAGCACTTTGGGAGGCAGGCAGGTGGATCACCTGAGGCCAGGAGTTTGAGACCAGCCTGACCAACATGGTGAAATTCTGTCTCTACTAAAAATACAAAAAATTAGCTGGGCATGGTGGTGCGCACCTGTAGTCCCAGCTACTTGGGAGGCTGAGGCAGGAGAATTGCGTGAACCTGGGTGGCGGAGGCTGCAGTGAGCCGACATCACACCACTGCACTCCAGCCTGGGCAACAGAGCAAGACTCCATCTAAAAAAAAAAGAAAATGGCAATTTCTTAGAAGTTTAATGGTGGCACCCTGGTGATTCAGTAACAGGGTATGAATATATGCCTCAAAATTTCTTTACATAGCAAAATCTAAAAATGTGAACTCATGAGAGGCTGGGCACGGTGGCTCACGCCTGTAATCCCAACACTTTGGGAGGCCGAGGCGGGTGGATCACCTGAGGTCAGGAGTTCAAGACCAGGCTGGCCAACATGGTGAAACCCCATCTGTAGTAAAAATACGAAAAATTAGCCATACATGGTGGCACACGCCTGTAATCCCAGCTACTTGGGAGGCCGAGGCAGGGGAACTGCTTGAGCCGGAGGTTGCAGTGAGCCGAGATTGTGCCACTGCACTACAGCCTGGGCAACAGAGCAAGACTCTGTCTCAAAAAAAAAAAAAAAAGAAAAAAAAAAGTGTGAACTCATATATTGGAGCACATATCAAAGAAATGGAATAGGAAGTGTCTTTTGTCTGAATGGGGATTTTGTGGTATTGGCTGGATGGAATGTGGTGCACCTATGTGCATAGCATCACCCGCCGTGGGGTATCAGGTAAAGACCAGAGTGGATTATTTGCCCAGGGTCTTCCTTACACCTCCCCTATCCAAAGGCTACTTTTGTTTCCCAGAAAAGGAGGTGTGTAAGGTGGTGTCAGTCTGTGGTGATGTTAGGACTTCTGGTAGTTGCTAATCCAGGGCAGAGAGACTGGAGGCATCTCAGGTCTCTTCTGCTCAGGGCGTGTGTGCAGCCTCCTGGTCTCTCAGGCACCCTGTCCGTCTCCCAGTCCATTTGCCCACGTCTTCGGGTGTCTGAGCCTGAGGAGTAGAGACGTCAGTGAAGGGGTTAAGATCCACACTTTATCTCTTGAATGCCCGGAGTCGATCCAGTTTTTGAGATCCTAGTTGAAACACTGCCCTCCCCAGTCCCCGTTGTTAGTAGTTTTTCTCCCGCCTGATCTTCAGTCGGGCCTTCTTGCTCATCTCAAGTATTCCTTACTCCACCTCTGCCTTGGGAGGTTGGCGGTAGGTTCCTGTGGGCAGGGATTGCCCTCTCTACCCCTTTGCTTCAACCGTCCGTGTGCTGTATGTGGGTGGGGCAAATGGATACGCACAGAGGAGTTCCGTGTTGCCTCCTCGGGAGAGGTCAGATTCACAGAGGCTGCTTTCAGCTCTGCTGAGCTGTGCTATGGTGTCCGCACGTGCCTGTGACCAGGCAGGTGCCACCCACTCTTCCCCTTTCCCCTGCTGCTGAGTCCGTCTCACTTTATTGCCCTTAATTGTTTGTTGACTTGTCTGGGCTCTTATCTGGCAGCCTTCCCTCCCATGGAGCTTGTTTCTGGCTTGAACACCTTCCCTGTCTGTCTCCCCGCTTAGCCCCTTCCTTCAGGCGCCACACCTCTCCTCTTCCTTAACTCCTTATCTCTCCCTTTGCCTCTGCCTGCTTCAGGTTGGGAATTCCTGGCCCTCTCTATTTTTTATCCTCTCCAAGGAACAGGCCTCGGCCATCAGTCATCATCTGAGGCCGGAGGTATTCACTGCCTGCCTCCTCACACCTACACACAAAGTTCTCCAGTAAGGACTGAGTGATGGCTGGGATGGAAAATAGACAAGTATTTTAGAACCAGATTAAAAAGAAGAAAAGATTATCCAGGATCTGGCATCTTGACACAGAGTCAATCCTAAGCTCCTTTGCCAGAAGTTTCTCTTGGCCTGCAAGAGCATCTGATAGCTCCTTCTTAGACACTGGCGACAGCACCCGCGGCTGATGTTGTTCTGCCACTGAAGGGTTTGTAAGCATTTTCCAGATAAAAGCCTGGTGCCTAATCCTGTGACATTCCTGTCTGTCACCAGGCTCAACACACCATTAGATAGAAGTGGAAGAGGAGCTGAGAGGGCTTTTCCAGGGACAAATTGTAGAACTACAATATTTTTTAAAGCTTTTTTTTTTTTTTGGCTTTTTGAGTTAGCAGTCTGGGCTGAAAATTGGCATTTCCCCCTATCGCCTACAAAAGGAGCTTGTGTGTGTGTATATATATATATTGATATATATATATATCAATAGTAAAATATGAAAAACATTGCAGATATTCCTATCTCTACAACATCTTTGAATTAGGGAAAGGATGGAGGGGGTGTTTAAACTGGTGCGCTTCCTCTTGGATCTGTTTTCCTAAAATTCTGGTCCTTGCCCTCCAGAGTCTTGCTCCGACTCTCCTTCCCCAACTCTGTCTGAGTGTTTGCCCTGCAAGAGATGCTTATCCGTGCCCTGAGCTGCTAAGCAACAAGGTGCGCAGTTTCCAACCCTTAATGTTTCCTTCTCTCAGCAATGCCAGACGCCTGTCATCCCTCTCTAAACTAAGGACCATTTCCAGAGGAATGTCAGGCTGCAGCTCAGACCCAGGGCATTTGGGCCGGAAGGGTAATTGCAGGCCCCGTCTTTGAAGTGTCTGTGGGAATGGGGTGTCAGTTCCTTTATGTCTTGGACCCGGAGCTGCCCGGCTAAGTGCTGGTGCCTTTCACCTTGGGAAGAGCCTTCCTTTCCTTCCTCCTCTGCTCTAAGCCAACTTTAAGCCCCAAGATGGGAGTGGATAAGTGCTTGTTGTTCTGACTCCTTTCTGGGTGGCCTCGGAGGTTAGTGAGCCTCTCTAGAGCTTCAGTTTTTCCACCATAAAATAGTGGGAATAATTCTGTCCCGGAAAAAACTCAGGAAGACTTTTGACAACAGTCATATGCACTGATGATGGCTGTGCTGTCTCTTGCACCTGCAGTGGTCTCTGCTTAGCTCTGAATAAAGACACAATCTGGGGGCTCTTGAAAAGAAATCTAAGAGAAACCCTTGAAAAATGAGTCCTGACTCAGTTGGTGACAATGGCTGTGCATAAGAAAATGGTTTGCAGCCGGCTTGCGTTTTCATCCCGCCATCTGCACGTCTGGGCCTGCTGCCAGGGTTGGTTGCCATGGTGCGTCCGTGTGCTGCCGTTGAAAAGCACTTTGTAAGCAGCTTTCTGGTCTGCTCTTGCTTTTACGTTTTGATTTGGGATAACTCAAGTTCGCATCTACTGCACGTTGCGGTGTTCTGTGACTTCCGGGTTAGACTTGTTTTCCGACGAAGTGCTCCCGCAGGCAGGCCCAGCCACTTGCAGTTCCCTTGCACGTTGCCTCACTGTGTCACTCCGCCTCTCCCGGGGGGCTCTGGGGGCTGCTAGGGAGGAAGACAAGTGGTCTTGCTTACAAATGGATGGCGTATGGCAAGACTCCTGATGACTCCATGGAGCTAGTGACTACGTGGCAACATGGGGAAAGGGGCCATTTAATTCTCAGGGTATTTGACACGATCAGGGAGAGTTTTGGGCTAACCAGGGCTATGCCAGGGATTTCTGTGATAGGCTTGTGATACAACTGGATTCTTTTTTCTGACTTGCACTCCTATCATGCAAAAGCTGGACACATTTTGTTGTTTTGTTGTGTTTTGCTTTGTTTCTAGAGATGGAGTCTTGCCCTGTTGCCCAGGCTGGAGTGCAGTGGCACAATCCTAGCTTGCGGCATCCTCAAATTCCTGGGCTCAAGTGATCCTCCTTCCTTGGCCTCCCCAGTAGCTGGGACTACAGGCACTAGCCACAGTGCCTGGCTGTATTTTGTTGGTTATTATTAATTTGTTTGAGGCTTTGATCAAGTCGGAGATATCTTTGTTTTCCGATTGTGAAAAGGATGCATTGATTGTAACAGGTTTTGAAGAATGAGAAACTGATAGAGTAGAGAGTGAAAGTGCCTCGGTGCCATCCTCTTGGCTGATAGGAACAGGTTGCCTTGCCTCCCCGGTGTTATTTTCTGTGGCGCCCCTTTTATGTTTTCCCTCTGAGCACCCGAGCACCCTGGAAGGATCTTTGCATGCATTTGAAAAGCTATCTCTCCCCATACCCTACCCGCCCCTCCTGTGTCCGAGGCCTGTGACTACCCCAGCCACCCTCTGGGCCGCTTCTGCCGGGATCCTCCTTTTTACTCCCTTCTTTCTCCTCCCCTAGGCTGTGTATAAGATGGCAGATGTAGCCTGCAAATGCCACGGCGTCTCGGGGTCCTGCAGCCTCAAGACCTGCTGGCTACAGTTGGCCGAGTTCCGCAAGGTGGGGGACCGGCTGAAGGAGAAGTACGACAGTGCGGCCGCCATGCGCGTCACCCGCAAGGGCCGGCTGGAGCTGGTCAACAGCCGCTTCACCCAGCCCACCCCGGAGGACCTGGTCTACGTGGACCCCAGCCCTGACTACTGCCTGCGCAACGAGAGCACGGGCTCCCTGGGCACGCAGGGTCGCCTCTGCAACAAGACCTCGGAGGGCATGGATGGCTGTGAGCTCATGTGCTGCGGGCGTGGCTACAACCAGTTCAAGAGCGTGCAGGTGGAGCGCTGCCACTGCAAGTTCCACTGGTGCTGCTTCGTCAAGTGCAAGAAGTGCACCGAGATCGTGGACCAGTACATCTGTAAATAGCCCGGGGGGCCTGCTCCCGGCCCCCCTGCACTCTGCCTCACAAAGGTCTATATTATATAAATCTATATAAATCTATTTTATATTTGTATGAATAAATGGATGGATGCTAAATAATGAAAAGATGAAAATGGAAAGGAAAAGCTTATTTAAGAGACGCTGGAGATCTTTGAGGAGTGGACTTCGCTGGTTCTCTCCTCCTGGTGGGTGGGAAATGGGGCTTTTCCCCTCCCTCTGGCGAGGACTCTCAGGATGTAGGGACTTGGAAATATTTTCTGTCTGTCCACCATGGCCTGGAGGAGGGAGGTTGTGGTTGGATGGAGGAGACGAGCTTGTCTGGAAGTCTGGAGTCTTTGTTGGTTAGATGACTGCCTGTGACCCTGGCCACTAGGCCAAGAGGCCCTACGAAGGTGGCGGGAACTCAGCTTCAACCTCGATGTCTTCAGGGTCTTGCCCAGAATGTAGATTGGTTCCCTGAGAGGCCTGGTGCTCTCTTACTCTTTCATTCCCGTGCATATGTGCAGCATCTACAGTTTACAGGAACGGCTCCTTCCCTAAAATGAGGAGAAGTCCAAGGTCCTCTCTGGCCCAGTGACCACAAAGAGCTCAGCACCTCCCGGACTTTGGGCCTGCCTTTCCAGCGAGAATTCTTCATCCTCCACCGTTCACTAGCTCCTGCCTGAAGAGGAATGGGGGCCGTTTGACCTGACACGTCAGGAAAGCCCTGAGCTGAATGTTTGCGCCTGGGCTGCAGAAGGCTGGGTGCGTGACCGGGCTGCGTGGACGTCATGCTGTCTTCCCCCCACGGGCGGGGAAGCTTGAGCTGCTGCTGTCACTCCTCCACCGAGGGAGGCCTCACAAACCACAGGACACGGCGACAGGTCAGGCTGGCGGGCCCGGCGTGCTCATCATCTCTGTCCCAGGTGTACAGTTTCTCTCTGACATTAAATGCCCTTCGCGGAGGTTTCGCTCCCTTTCCTTATTTGGACCCACACTGACCTTTCATGAGTCTCCTTTTATTTTGTATTTGATCTTCAGAACTCTCCTCCGCAGTGTGGAAGAGGGTAAGGAAACCGAGACTCCTTAGACTATATAATCTGGTGATTAGGGAGAGGGACAGAGGAATGTTTTGAGAATTAAATAAGGTGATGCATTTAGGCATCACCCCAAGGACTAGCACACAGTTAGACACTCAGGAAGCGGTAGCCATTACTATTACTACTGTGAACAAGGGAATTCAGAGATTTAAGCTGAAACCTCACATTTACCTTCCTCTTTCCCTTCCCCCATTTGATAGTGTATCAAGCGAACCCTGGCTTGTTCCCTGGGTCCCTGGTAAAGCACGGGTGATGGAGATGCCCTTTGCTGTCTGCTCTGCGTTGCTGTCTGCAGTTTTGCTCCAGTATCTGGGGCCAGGAGGGTAAGGCTGAGCTTGGGGATCCAGGAAGGGAGATGTTATTATCCTCAAAAGGGAGGAAGGAGTGATTGAGAGAGACCCTGAGCCAGGCTGCTGTACAGTGACCAGCCTGCAGGTGAGCCGGTAACTACAGAAAGACATCAGTTTTATTCTAGAAAACTTTATTTCTGGAGAAATAATTGCTGAGTTAATTTGGGTTATAATGAGCAAATTATTTTGCAAAACTGCTTAAAAGAGATTCTGCCTGAGGGCATTTATGCCATCCCATACTACTTGTCTCTTTAGTACCTGAAGGAGAATGTTCTGACCCAACCAAGAACCTCAGACCTAGAGTTATTTTACCTGTAGCTAACTCACGCTGTCACCCAGATTCCTTTGGTTGATACTTTCAAGGCGACATTTCATTTTCATGAAAGAAAATGACTGAAGTTATGGTCGGGCGGGGTGGCTCACGCCTGTAATCCCAGACCTTTGGGAGGCTGAGGTGGGTGGATCGCTGGAGGTCAGGAGTTCGAGACCAGCCTGGGCAACATGGCGAAACCCCATCTCTACTAAAAATACAAAAATTAGCTGGGCGTGGTGGCACATACCTGTAATCCCAGCTACTCGGGAGGCTGGGGCAGGAGAATTGTTTGAACCTGAGAGACAGAAGTTGCAGTGAGCCAAGATCGTGCCACTGCACTCCAGCCTGGGCAACAGAATGAGACCCTGTCTCAAAAAAAAAAAAAAAAGATTGAAGTTAATTGGTCTACAAAAGATGAAAACCATGTCCTTGTCTTCATTCGCTGACATTTAACCATCTTAACCACCTTTAACCGTAACTCTCCAGTTGCACGGATCAACCACGATGATAGGGTTTTGAAACACTGGCCAACATTACTGTTCTTCCCCACATCAGTTCTAGAGGTTTGGGGAATGACTTGTGTATCTGGTGCTCACACTAACCTGTTTTTAGAAGCCCCCAGAAATTAGCTGAGAATGGTTGTCCACAATCCCCAGAAGTCACTTCCATGTTCATGCAGGGAGGTGGATAATCCTTATCAGAGTAAGGTTTTCCTGCAGAGTCATGGCAAGTGGTGGAGTAAATCCGTTTTCTTTCTGATGTGGGGGTAAGTTGTGTTCAAATACCAGCGTGGTTGTTGCATCCACTGACCTATTTTTCTAAGTAGGTGGGAATACGGTTATAGTTACTTGTCACTTGCTTGTTGAAGCCTGCTGGATTGACAGCTGTCTGTGAATCTGTGAAGTGACCAGTAATGCTGCGGGAATGCGGCTGGGGAATGTGGAAACCAGCTTGAGAAAAGCAAGTGAGCTTCTGCTCAGAATCACAGGATGCTAGAACAGGAAGGGAACAGGGCAATCACAACTTAAGCTTCTGGGGCTCCAGGCAAGAACCTCCAGATCCTGAGCAGGTCCTACACCCCATTGTGCTTGTAAAAATGCAGAGTCCTGGGCCCCCAACACCAGGAATTCATATTCAGCTCGTTTGGGGCAGAGTGTGGGACCTGAAGGGATCCGATGCTGTTAGCTCAAAGACTACACTGGACTTGCAGATACGGAGAGCTAAGACCTGCCAGGAGGCAGGAAGCCTGGTCCTGATTCCCAGCCCAGCGCTCTTTGCAGCCCAGGCAGGGTTCCCTATACCTGAAATATGTTATAACCAACACATAGTCTAACCAGATTGTTGCATTACTTGACCAAGCAGTCCTAGCCAGCCCAGAGAACCATTCTGATGCGTTGGAAAGAGCTTTCTGGCACAGAGCAGAACTGATTTGCCTTGGGATGTTCCACCTCCCTCCTCTGTCTAGGATGGGTAGAGACCTACTGATCTAATTCCTGAATGTCTATCATAAGGCGATATGTTCTTAGCTATTTGTCTTTGCCTTATCTTCAAAAATTAAGATAAAGGTATGCCTGACTGCCTCCATTTAATAAAAAGACAGGATGGACAGCTAGAGGATGGGAGGGTACGAAGGCAGTCACAGGTATGGTTAAGGGTAGGGCAGGCTTCCATTCATCCAGGCATCGTGGACAGTCTCCAGAACGTGGATTCTAGGTCCTTACTTGGAGAGCCCATTTTGTTCTCTTCCACTCTCCATCCTTTGAGGTGAGAAACAAAACTTACTCTTTGTATTAAAACCTCAAATTGGCTGTTGCCTTGGAAATGCTGCCCTGCTTCCTCTCTTTAATCATTAGTATCTTATTTAAGCTCCATCATCCCCTGGAGTTTTAGGAACTAGCAAGATGTCCTCCATGAGACAGAGATCTTACAGATGCAGTAGTTTATCAGACAAGCCCATTCCTTGGGCGGAGAGCCACAGCACCCTGAGAGCGTGGGGAAAATAGCGTTTCCATCTTCAAACAGGCTCTGCTCCATGCCAGACACCACTGACACTGGGCACATGGATTTTGGGAGAACGTGTGTGTGTGTGTGTGTGTGTGCGCGCGCGCGCGCGCGCGCTCATGCACTTAGGCACACAGGAATGAATCTTTTTCACTAATTTGGGGGTGGAGGTGGAGAGGCACCAGAGGCATGGAGTATGTAAAAAACGGAAAACAACTCAACACTTCTGGCTGAGACGTTGCAGAGCCTGGGTTGTCTATCTTCATTGGGAATGTTTGTCCTCTGCCTGGCTGGTGATGACAGGCTTCATATCTCTTGAAGGAATGTTGGGGAGCTGACAAGGGCTGTGAGCCATGGTTGCTAAGTGTTACTGTTAGTTCTTTATTATGTAAGAATCTCTGCATTGTGTTGATACTAAAACAGTAAGTAAAGGGCGGGTGCTTTCATTCTGCTTTTACATAAGAAGTATGGGAGTTTGCCCATTTTCCTCTGAAGTAAGAAGCTTTGGACCCAGCATTGAGGATGCGACATCAGGCAGGTGTGGAAGACTGAACCCCATTCACAATTAATTTTCTAGCTTGTCTGGAGAGTTTGGGCATTCCTCGTGTGGATTTTCCAGTCCTTGCTTCCTCCCTCTTGCTGCAGGTCTTTTGGTCTTCACGATGCTCAATTTGCAACCCTACCAGAAGCAGCAGCAGAAGACAGAGCTGAATCAGTTAATTTAGGCCTCCTAAGTCGTTTTGATAAACAACTGGGTGGGAGGAGGGATGGTTCAAATGAGATTTTAAGAATTACAGATGT